AGTAGAGTCTCTTCGTCGAGATGCACAACCCAATCGTCATCTTGAAGAATATTCACATCATCCTCTAGACAGTACTGTAAGGCTCGCGACTTGAATAACGCACCACTTTTAGTCCTTCAAATAAATTTTTTCATAAATACACAAGATGAGGAAATAAATTTCTGTGAGGAAATAGAATAAATTAGACTCGCAACATACTAATTGCTGATTGTTGCCCTATTGCTGGCACCTGCATAAGAACGACAATTGTACGGCATCAATTAAAAATCATTCAACGGTTTCGCAGTAACAAGAATGAAACAGATTCTCTCACTGCAACGTGATGCATATCAATACCTAACGCAAAAAAAATATTTGAAATTGATGAAAAAAGTTTAAATCAATTGACCGAAACCTGAAATCGAATAGAACCTCAAAATGATACTCAAAATTAATTTGCTGTACTACTTTCTGTTTTACATCTGTTACTTTCATGTTTTGATACTCAATCGAAAAAAGCAGTACTTTCAAGTGATCGCTAGCAAACAGCTCTGGCAAAGAGTCGCAAAAATGTGAAAACATTTCAATTTCTCATCATCAACATTCTCAGCGCTGATTGGAATTTTGAAATTTTTCAAAAATTTCCAGAAATCATCCATCATAGTTTTTCTTCGCACAAATTATTGGTGATGCAAAGCGATGCAAAGTCGAAATCGAGTCGAATTGTGTGAAAAGGAAAACATGCCAAGTGCAGAAATAAGAACGAACGAAAGAAGGATCACGAAAAAGCGAACAGATTCACTCACCTGTATGTGGTAGGGACAACCACTTCGCGAAGACGTGGTAATGACGGTAAGTTAATCGCTTTGTCGGTGACTACTTCGAAGAAAAAATTCTCCATACCAGCTTCACGACATTTTGCCATATTGTATTTTATGTTTTGCTGCAAATATGCGACAAAATTGATAAAATTTATTAATATTTATATAATAATTTCCACGCTAATTCCGTACACCAGAATTGTGGAGAATATCATTTGGAATGGGCAAGGAATTTTCATCGATTTGATTGAATTTAACATAGATAAGAAGCGATATGCAGCTGAATTATTCACATTCACACTTGCATGCTGTACACTCGATGTATCGAGAAGGTATGCGAGACATAAAGAAGATCATTG